TATTAGGGCCGGCCGGCGCACTGTCGCACGGTAGCGTGTCGGGCCAGGTCAGCAGCGCCGCGTCGACCAGCTCAGCGCGTCCGGCGACGGCGCGTGACCGCCGCGCCGCGCCGCTGACGGCGACGACACCACCTCTGTCGGGGAGAGAGAGAGAGAGAGAGAGAGAGAGAGAGAGAGAGAGAGAGAGAGAGAGAGAGAGAGAGAGAGAGAGAGAGAGAGGAGACAGACAACGTGGGGTGTTTAAGGGTGGATGGGGGGATGACTGGACCGGTAGCATCACTGCTCACGAGTCCATGAGTACTTAGTTATAACGGTAGTCGCAAAGTCTTTGCGCCTCGTCTTATGCACGTCATTCTATCTGTCGTCCCCCATTAGCGACCAAATTATTGCAGCGTCGACTGTGGACATGGACTGAACAAATTAAAATGTCAGAGTCTAAACCCCGTAGTGATCCAGTGGGTGTCTTTTGTTGACGCGAAGCGAGGACGACTCACTGACCACTGTGCTTTGTTACACGGTCGCTGCCATCCAATGAATGACATCATTTATTTGAAAAAAGCGTACACGTAACCCGCGCTCTAAATTTTACGAATGAAGGCACATGTCACGATATTTTTGTGGTCTGACGCAAACAGCGTCATGAAATAAATAGTAACGGCACACGAAAATGAGCGGCGCTATTGCTCACCGCTGTCTGTCCGTCGTATCCACGATACCGTTGATTTGTGTGACTCGGAACCGAGCGCCGGCGCTCGCTCGGTTGTTATTTATCGTGCTGCCTTCGCCGGGCAGTGCTACAACGGTCCCTGGCGGCGGGTGAGAACCACTCCGTCGCGCGCGGCACCGCCACTCCTGGCACGGTGTACCCTGTCCTGGCAGAGCCCGTGTCTCTGCGTGTCACGACTAATGAGACGATAATCCGTGACGTAGATCGTGACATTCCCTAACACGACTGTCGACTAGTGAGTTTTGCGACGCATCTGACAGGACAGATCGTGACACAGCTGGGGCATTCCACGATAGATCGTACCACTTTTTTCCAATTTGACACCCTCATCTCTCGGAATTTGACGAGAATTGGTCTCTGGGGTAATAAGGGGCTCTGAATCCACCTGTAGCAATTTCAGGCTTATCAGGTAAGTATTTTTTGAGTTATGGTGTAAAACATTTTTTGGAGCTTGCTTTGCAGCGCTAAGTTTGGCGGGCTGTAACTCTAAGACCGATTATTCAAATGCCAAATGTTATATAACATTGAACTTGCAATGAAACAGAGATTAATATGTATTTTTGAAATTTTGAAAAATGCGCTATTTTTGATATATGACATATCGAATTTTCTTTCATTTGTATTTTTTGGACCTTGGGACCAAATTTTTTTGAATTTTTATTTCTTTCAAAAAATATTTGGCTCATTGTTAAGAAGTATGCAAAAAATTAGGAAGGTGTTCTTTCTATAAATGTATTTATATTACGTCACGATAAAGGTTTCGAATAGTGATTTCGGGAGGGGAGCTTACAAATGGCGTGGTAAAGCTGCCTAGTGACATCACGGGTTACTGAAATTTCAGTTGAAGTCTGAGTCATCTGAAAAAAGTGAAAAGAGGGTTCATCCAACCCTCTTTCCTATAAGCGCGAGGGTGAAAAAGGCTGTTTGGTTCTGACATTGTTTTGGACGCCAATGACCATAGCTGTCCGAGATGAAAGTTACAGGACGCATACATGGTGTCCTCCAGAGGTCTCACAACTTGTATATCTGGGAATTTTTCAAGGTTACATGAGGTCAGGTCGGTCACGTGACATCACTGTTATAAATCAATGGGGAAATATAAAAAACTGTTATTTTGGCGCCGAGAATGATCTAAAACTATCCCACGTACATGGTATCGTGATTTCATGCACTCCTTGCAAAGTTCAATGCTTTACTTTTGCATTGTTAACCTTGCGTGACGTCATTTATGACGTCACTAGGGTCGTACGAGTTTTTCGTCAATAACTCCCGATCAAATGGAGCAAGAGGGTCGGGAAAGCCACCAATGGACTCGGGAAGACCTTCCGAATCGAATGATATGCCATATGATACCCTTTGCCCAGCTTCGTGACCTGAGGGGCTCTGACCTGACCTTGACCCGAGGTCAACTACTTAAGTTGACCTCATCCTAGCAAAAAGTATACCATTCGATGCACCTGAGCTAGGCGAGCACAATGATGCCAAAATCGCGGCTCTGCGGCCATTTTTTGCGAGGTTATTTACTAAAAACCGAACCCGTAATTTCAGTCACGTGACCTGACCTCAGACGCTACCGGTTAACCTGAGACCTTAAAATCGGGTACCAATCGCTGCGACTTGTAACGGCACACACGCTCGTTTTTTCCGCGAGGCTCTAGCTCTATTAGAAGCGAAACGGCGTGCTGGGGTCGTATCAACCCCTCCGAAACCCATTTTGTTTCCGGGAAAATGAGGAACTTATAGAAAGAACACCTTTCTAATTTTTTGCATGTCGACTTGCAATGACATGAAGTTTATTTTGAAAAAATGAAAATGTGAAAAATTTTGGTCCCAAAAGTCATTAGAGGCAAATGAAAAAAGATTAAGGCTTTTGCCTAACAATGAAAAACTTTCTTTGGAATTTTTAAATAGTAATATTAATTTTTGATTCATCGCAAGCTTAGTGCTGTTTACTGTTTGTTGGTTGCTTAACCCGTTCTTGAGTTATAGGCCATCAAACTCACCGTTACAAACCGAAGTTAAAAAATGTAATGCAATATAACTCAAAAAGTTTTGATCTGAGAAGTCTGATATTTTGCCAGGCGTCTTTGGGGCCTATGATTACCCCTAGGACCGATTTTCATTAAAATCTGAGAGATGAGGGTGACGGGCCTGGTACGATCTATCGTGGAATGCCCCAGCTGATAATGCAGTTGGTGTCAGCTCATGACAGAATCGTGACAGTGCATGTTGTAGGTGTCACCATGTGATAGTTCGTGACACCTGACATGACACACCTCATGGCGCCTGACAAACTTCATGAGAGAACTCATGACAAAGCTCACGACACAGCTCATGACATAGTCTGTGTCACACAGCTTGACACAGGTCGTGACACGGCTCATGACAAGGGGTCATGCACGGGCGGCCATCTGCGAGTCGCCCCCTCCCTGTCGCCGTTGTGCGTGCTGGCGGGCTATTAGCAGCGCGTCTCATTAGCCGGCGCCGCTGGCCGCCGGTGCGTGGGGACCCGGGGACGGAGCTGTCGCGACCGGTCGTCACGGACCTCGAGACGAGTGGACGTGACGACATAAAGACGAGCAACGGACCTCTGTAGATAAGTAGACGTAAAGATATGAAGGCGAACGACGGACCTTCAGACGGGTCGACATGAGAGTATAAAAACAAGCGACGGATCTCAAGACGGGTAAACACGTCTCTGGTCCGTGAAAACGAAAGGCGGGCCTCTAGACGAGTAGACATGAAAACATGAAGACGAACGACGGGTCTCTAAGACTGGTATTTGTGCGCTGCGTGATCCGAGGAGACGGATGTTGTCGGAAGGGTTTCGAGCGCCGCAGAGACTCGACAGCCAGAAGACGCTGCTTGCTCATAGAGTTTTATCCGCTTTCTACGGCTCCGGTTGAGCTGAAATGCTCCGTTCGGGTGCTGGAGCTGGGTGGTGGAAACGGAGGAGTTGGTTAGTTGTAACTTGCCAGACTGGCTCGGGGGCTTACAAGATACGTTTGAACTGCGGAATCCTTGCATCACCCATCGCCGAAAGGTTTGCCAGGAAATGTTTGAAGGAAAAGCCCCGTGAGTTCTGACCGGAGAACGCTATGAATACCAATATCGGTATGAAAATCAATCAGACTGAGCTCCTGCCGGCAGCTGAGCCGGGCCGTGGCGTCAAAAGAGGCGTTGGCCGCCGCCCGGTCTGAACTCGCCGGCGGCTGCGACCGACCCGACTCCGGGAACCAGTGAAGGTATTGCGCAGCGCCTCCACGCTGGCGCCTCGCTAGTAAATACAGCTCCTGGGGGACGGTCCGCCATTGTGAGAGAAGTACTCGTACTAGATCTGCGGAGATGGCACTTCTGTGTGGAGGTCGGCACATCGACGTGTCGACTCATACACCAGCACTAGACGGCTCATTTTGGTAATCGGTTGAGTGGGTCATGTCCGACTGTGGTGATCCTGACGGCTCGGTTACGAGTGGTGACGTTGTTTGGGGTTGATAGGTCAGTGACGTTGTGTCTTACCTCTACGTCCTATCCACTGTGCCAATTTATGTTCCGACTAAAAGCAGCGGATGGACACGCCCGATACTCATGCCCTCGACGGGGGCGTTGGCAGACCCGCCGTCACCGTCCCCGACGGGCGCGGCGGTCGGCCGGTCGGCAAGTCGGATTCGATTAGCTGATCTCATCAGCGTGGGGAACGGTCGGTAGTCGGCGGCGGCGGTCATAGTCACGCCTCCCGTCCCGCCCCGACGCCGTCGACGCCACAGTGTCGATCCCCGGCCAGGGACCGACTGAGGACTCTGGGGCCGGACCATGGCTCTGGCGCCGGGCTCGGACTCGGGATACTGAATGTCCAGTGTCGCCCCGGTGCCGTCTCGTGGAGGGGTGAGAGGAGAGGGGTTGTTTTCACTGCCGAACGGTGGTTCGAACCAGCGAGGCCTGGTCAAGTGGCTGATAAATTGGTCCTGCGTGGCTGCTGATTGGTTTCACCTCGAGATACGGCCAGGGGCAACAACGGAATGTTATCGACAGCGTGTAGCTTGGTGAACTATGTTCTGTCACCTGGCTGTTTTTTTCTTTCACATCTTTGGTTATCAATTTTATGAGGCGTAGTTCTATGTTCGTGAGGTCCACCTAACCATATTTTGTGCTGTATCTGTATGTTGACCACTGCGCTTTTCATCGTATGATGTACTTGAATCACACAAATGTCTCTTCAAATCTGGCGTATCCGGACGGTTATGTAAATCGTTGTCTTTCTCATGCCCCGCAGGACAAGACAGCGTGGAACAAACTGGTTCGTAAGAACACGGCTGAGAACCGCAAGGCCGGGAGGTTCCTGCCCAGCCCGTCTCCGGTTATTGCCGTCAAACACACAGGTAAGGTGATGGATATTTTGTCATCGGCTGGTCGCAGCGGACAGCCTCACTAGGGATGACCAGTCGCGAGGGCCGCTACCTGATAATGGGGAGGCGTTGTGGGCACTGTGATTTTGTTTGAATGAGGGGAACTGGCAGCTTCCAACTGTTTGAACACCCGCCGTGCGTTTTTTACGAGCCTCTCCATCAGTTGTTATGTTCAGTACTGCACTACTTTCTGCGGAGTGATGTACGGAAATTTCTTGTTTTTCTTTTAGAAAGCTTTTTGAATTAGGTAGAAGCGTATGTCTGATATAATGAGCTATAAAATCAGAAAACTGAGATGGATCTTCTACAATGCGTTTTTGTGTTGTCTTATATCACGCCTTGCTACACTCATCCATCTGACCCATCCCTTCTCTGTTCGCAGGCCACAAGAGTGTCGCTTCCCGGCGAGTCCGCTGGAATGACGAATTTTCCGTGCCAGACATGGCTGTTCGGGTGCGTCCGATGCGCCGCTCTGTCAGCGATTGCGATATGACCCAGAGCTCGGACGCCTCGTACATGGAGGTGAGCGTCTGCGAGGTCCGCAGCGCGCGGCCCGCCGTCGTCCGGCACTAGTGCGCGGAGGAGGGAGAGTGACCATAAGGGGCCGAAGGTGGCTCCGAGAGAGCGAGCGGGGTTTGAGAAGGTCTGGTGGTGCGCATTGCAAGCTGCAACGGCGGTCAGCATTGATGTAATTTGTGCGTTGGTATCTATCGAGGGATGAAACGATGACCGATTAATGTTGAAAGATACTTTGAGCTCAGCTGTGAGAAATGAAACGGGAAGTGTGCTTCATTCGAAATTTAATGAAGAGCACCTGTCAACTTCTTTGAAACACTCTACCTGTGTTCCTTTATAGTTTGATTTCAACGTTGTCAGAATGTTCGCACCAAAGTCTTCGTACGCCGGTTTCCTATACTTATTTGTTTGGTAATGCCCGAAAGCATGACGTCAATTATTCGGGTCCACCTCAAGATGAAGTGTGAGATAAGCTTCTGCGATATCTGCATTTAACGTCGCTTCGCACGGCCTTAACCATTGTCAGCTAGTGTTGTAACTTGTAGCGGTGCCATAGACTACCGTACCGTCTTCAGTGTCTCTTGTATAGTCTTCCACGCCTGTCCTGTTGCCATTAACCAGATGCAGCGCTTCTGTAGCTCGAACATCTAAATGGCCGAGCCGCTAGACCAAGCTGTGAGAGCGACCGTGCCGGAAATAGCCCGAACTAAATCATGCTCGGCTGTTTTTATGACTAGCCCTGTTGTCACATTGTTGTCAGCCTGTTATTTTAAGGACACAATAAATCTTGTGAATGCTCACGATTTTTAGACAATTATCATTCTGCGTTTTATCCTACCATGACAATGATTTGATATTTTTAATGGTCTAGGTAATAAGATCTCATTTTGATATGTTTCACCTGTTCAGAAACTTGAAGATAGAACGATTAGAGGTGTGTGGTTGTGCTCTCCAAAACGAGACCATCGCAACACCTGAAGATCACTTGTGCCTTTAATTTGACCGGATATAACTCATGCCGGGATCTAGGGATTAGGACACGCCTCGTACAGCGTGCTTAGAATTTCTCTCTTGGTTTTACCCACAGCTCTAACAAATTCGCGCTCAAAGCCTGACTTACAGCAGAATTGCTCTTCGCCTGGTCGCTTCAGATTGCCTTTCATGCCGTAAAGCAACGCCCTATGAGCTGTGGTCTGACGGCTCCCAATCTCCCAGCCTTACTCAAACAGAGAGTGGGCCAGTTTCTCCTGCGGTCGGGCAGACTGGTCCGCCCGGCCCGCAGTCACTGGTGGACAGTACTGAATCCGCGTCCCGAGTACTCCACTTTGAATATTGAACAGGTCGCCGAGTGGCCACTCGCCGGCCGGCGCGCTCGTTGTCGAAATTCTCAGGCACGTTGCGGCCACTCGATGGTGGCATTCCACCCCCACCCGGATGGACCCCGCCCTCGCGAGCAGCCAACGGGGAGCACCTCTTACCGATCGGAGTGTCAGTGGGACAGCCGTGTCTGCCATTGCGGTGATGAAATCTGAAATTTTGCGATGTTGCTATGCCTGAGCTAGATAAAGTTTTTTCATGCATTGTACTTCATTCTACGTGTTGTTTTATTGTAAGAAGGTTCGGTGTGCAATGGAGTAAGGAAAAAATAATTTCAGCAGTCGGTGTGCCCTGAAGCCCTCTTAAACATATCAACGGTGTGCAAAGTGAGCTCAGATCTCAATGCTCTATCACGAGCAACCCGCGTTCAACTTCTATCGTAACCGATCTACCCTGCAGTTTCCTTTCACTAAATCCCACCACGTCAGTGGTTTGCCGATGCACGCCACCGCAGGCTGCGTGCCGGGCCAAAGACGAATGGCTGAAGCGCTCCCTCAGTTGTAGACTGCAGCGCGATTTATACGTTCCGGTGAGCCATACGTTAGCTGCGTGTCGCCCGGTTCCGTCCTGTCTCCCCCAGTGGACAGGGAGGGGTCGGGAGAGAATCGGACAGTGAAGAAAAGTTTGGCTAGTAGGCCCAAACAAAATCGTCTCTGCAGGCCGATTTCCCGAGCACCGGTGCATTTACAAATGCTGCTTCCGTGCTAAGTTTTATTTTTTAGGGATCAGCTTTCCTGGGATTTGGACTTTCGAGTCAGAAAGCAATAATGCAAAGGCGCCTGTCAGTTCCGTGTTACCGCGTTACATGTTAATCTCGCGCAGCACAGGCCCCGTATGAAACATTCAACCGCTGTATACGTGCTGTTCCAGGAATTGGTCTGATTTCGTGCAGAAACCGACTCGTTTACCCGTAAACCTGCACGCATGGCCGGCCAGTCACCCCGCTTCTGCGTTCTGCTCTGACCCAGCGGTGGAGCCGTGTTTACACATGCTATTAGCGGCCACTAAGTGACAGGCGTTCAGCTTACGCCGTCATCCGGCTCCTGAGCTCCCCTAATGACCGGTGGACGACGCGCGGCGACCGAGGCCGCCGACCGACCGCTCCTGAAAGCTGGCGAGTACAGGATAATATCCCGGACATGGGAGCGGGAGGTAGCGTGGAGGGCTAAAGGCTGTCATTGCTGATTGAAGCATGGGTCTGCTCTGAGGTGATGCTGAATGAAATGGCACCCGACGGAGCCGTTACGAGTGCTGTTGAATAATGAATCTCGTTTCACCGTTTCTAGCGGGTCATTAGTTAGACGGATGACGTAAAGCAGTGTAGCAGCCTTGTCTCGCTCCGTCCACCCCGCGGATCCTTCCGTGGAAGGTGGGCTTTCCCATGGCGGCTGAAAGTTTAACGCTATCGTGTACGTCACGAATGACGCCACTGACACCAGTGTGGAGTTTAATGAATCTCATTCGGTCGGCGGCGCCGTGCCTAGCGGGTTTAACCGACCGTGGCGGTGCAGCCCCAAATCCACGCTCAGATATCAAGTGTCAATTAGCTCGAGATGGGCACCGGGAAAACCCCGGGGCCCGGGCTGGAGTCGGATAGTCTGACCCGCGGCTTGGTGGCTCTTTGTTGACCTTAATTCGGATTATATGCTGTGATGTCTTAACTGTCATCCTAAATGAGTTTATCATAGGTGTTGCTTGGTTAGTTAATGATGGAGTGCGGGGCCGGAAGCGGCTGGAAGCGGAGTGATGGAATTGTGGGACCTGGCATTGATGATCCTGTGGCTGCCTGCAGGGCTGACAGTTTGGCAGAACTGCGAATGGTCAGGGAAATGTCAGGTGACCGTGACCATGCAACGGACGCCGGTAGCACACCCTCCGCCCTCCTTCGTACTCGCGTGTCGTGTCCGTCCACTCTCCACTGTCCGCCATGTGTCCGTCCACTTATCCACCGTCCCCTGTGTTTCTCTATCCACCGCCGTGCCGTCCATTCTCCACCGTCCGCCGTGTCTCCGTCCATTCTCCACCGTCCGCCGTGTCTCCGGCGCCGCTGTGTCTCAATACGATCGATGTTTCCGACGTCCGGCCGGCTGCCCAGTTCTGGAGCGGCTGCTCACTGCTCAGCGCTGGCACCCTGCCGGTGCCGCCGCCTCGGCTCTCAGTGTTCGGGCCGCGCCGCTGGCCAGACGCCACAGCAGCCGCACTTTGGTCACCGTCTCTATTGTCTGACCAGTTGTCTTCGCAGCGGCGGCCCCGTCCGGCCGGTGCGCGGCGTTCCAGTACCCCGGCCGCTGGAACGCCACCGCGGGGTCATGCAATGACGCAGTAGTCGCAGTATCCCGTATGGCACTAGACAGTCTAGCAGACAGTCGCATTACCGTACAACATCGCGACAATGGCCTTTGTGTGCACTGTCCAAGTTCTAATCTGGACAGCTGAAAGCTGAACAGTACTCAGCGTCCACCGTCGCTGTGTCCGACTGTGCAGTTTACCAGAGACATCCCCCTATTTATAGCTTCCTCTGACGGATCGTCCGAGGAAGTAGGACCGATAAAGCCCGTAGCGCCCAGCTCCCGAGAAAATGTCACGGTTCACGGTTCGATGTCGCCACAGCCGGCGTCGTTCCGAAGGCTCACGGCTCCGGATAGTGCTGAGATAGTGCCTTGTTTCGGACACTATAGCCATGTTTGTTGTTTGGTCAAGAATCTTGGGGGCATCACGAATGAATATGGTTATGATATTTAAGTTTCAACCGGATTGCTTTAACGGATATCAAATTCCGAACCGAGACTAAGTAACCTTCTTGGTTCCTCCGTCGCTTACAAGTTACAACGCCTACAATCGGTAGAGCTGAACGCAAAAAGGCTCTTCACTGCAGTTGTTCGACAATATCTATCAATCAAATTGGGGTGATTGAACGGTGCCCTCCGTCCTAACTCGAGGCAAAGTTAAACTTAAAGCCATTTGTGCCTTGTAAGTGGCTATTCTTAGGTATGTCGTTCCTTTGTAAGGCAAGGTCCATTGTTAGGCCGATCAAGTCTTTCAAACCGATACAAGTTAGTAAGTCAAAATGAAAAGTTGGTGGACACTTGCCTGACCAGACGTATAGAAGCTCGGCCCGTGCTGTTGTCAGGTAGAATATAGTCGCTCAGCTCTGCCGGCTCCGATAGCCGCTCTCAGAAGAATGGTTACTGTAATAGAATTGTGTTATGAATTAGTAGAAAGTAGCGTGCCTCGTGTGTGTATTGTGCGTGTGTGCTTATGACCGTGTTTGTGTGGGTGCGCCGAGGCCGTGGGACCGGCGGGCCGCATTTCCTGCGCCTGCGGCGCTAGTTTTATGGCGCACAGCTGTGTGTGCACTGTGGACCGCCGGCCGGGCTCGGGCGCGCGGCGGCAGTCGGCGCCGCGACACGATGACGTAAGGAATACAGCGTGTGAGAGGTGGCTCGGTTTTCTACAAGCTATTTCGGCCTTGTGTGAGAGACAGAGAGTAAGAGCCATGAAGGACGAGAAAAGTGCGCCTGAGAGTGGAGTGAAGCCGGCGAGTGCGGGAGACGCTGCAGCCGATCTCCGACTCATACCTGAGTTCGACGGAGCGACTCAGCCTGTCACAGAGTGGCTGGAGAAGGTGGAGCTGGTGTGCCGTCTACGTGGCATCGACGCGCTGCACGTCGTCGTTCCCCTCCGCCTAACTGGCGGGGCGTTCGCTGTCTATCAGCAGCTGGACGAGCAGGACAAGGCTGGCTACGAGACCATCAAAAATGGCCTGATTTCGGCTTTCGCAGAGGATAAGTTTGACGCCTATGACCGGTTTGAGAAGATGAAGCTCCGTCGAGGTGAGCCGGTGGATGTTTTCGTCGCAGAGCTGCGTCGCCTGTCCAGCCTGTTTGGCGGTATGTCAGACGGCGGCCTAGCCTGCGCGTTCGTGGCAAAACTGCCGGAGACCACCCGCCGTGTGCTTCGTGCAGGAAGCCGCGTCGAAAGCATGACGCTGAGCGAGCTAATCAGCCGGGCCCGAGCTGTGCTCGCCGATGAAGAAGAGACTGCAATGGCAGCAGCGACGGGAGCAGCAGCGCGGACGTCGGCGGCGCCACCCCGCGTGACCTGTCACTCATGCGGACAGCCCAACCACCTGTCGCGGGATTGTCTCGCTGCTCGCGGTCAGCGGGAGCGCGGCGGGGCCCGCGGCGGTCGGCGCAGTGTGCGCTGCTTCCGCTGCAACCGGCCCGGTCATATCGCCTCGTCCTGTCCGGAAAACGACGGCGGAGAGGAGGGCTCGGCGCCAGCCTCCTCTCCCGGTCTCCAGTGAGCGGGGCGCTGCCCGTTGTGCGATTATCGGTGGACGGCGCCACCTGTGACGCCCTGCTGGACACGGGATGCAGCTTGTGTGTAGCGCACGTGTCGGTGTGTCGAAAGTGGAGTCG